TAACTCCAACTTCTCAAAACCTATAGGAAAATTTTCATTTCCCAGGGCTTAAACACTTGGAAAGGATAATTTACTGAACACACATCAGATGTTATTACTCACAAGTGAAGAGTCACACATTGCCCTAGGGGCTAAATAGTCTATTTTGCACCGCAACAGAACTGGCAGTTAAATGCTGATTTTAAAATAAGCATTAAGAAATTTGTATTTGCCTCTGCAGAACCTTCATACTGGTCATTAGGAATGGTAAAGCCTCACCTGGCTGATGGGATAATATACCATCTCTTTGCTTTATAACAGTAAGTATCCTAGCGTCACTAAGACCCAATGCATAATTCATGTATGCCAAACTGCTTATTCCTGTTTTGTTTTTAAATGCTCTGCAATCCACCAGCCAAATTTTATTCCTGTCTTATTGTTTCTTTTTTTTTTTTTAAACTATTGTACCCTTCTTTTTCCTTAATTCCTCAACTCTACTTCCCTTCATTCTCAGCAGGTGATCTGATATTGTAGAGGGAATACACAGAGTGCTGTATTTAAAGCCAGGTTGACCTAGGTTGTTATTTTTTTTTTTAAGACAGTTGGGGTTAAGAGACATGCCCAGATCATACAGCTATTAAGTGTCTGAGGCTGGATTTGCCAATTTGTACTAGAGCTACAGGAGATGGCCCTAGTAGCTGATGACCATGGGTAAGGGTCCTCCTAATTCCAGGGCCAGTGCTCTATTCACTGTGCCATCTACCTAGGTCTTAATTCCACCTCAGATGCTGGCTGTGGGCAAGTCACATAACGTCTCTGAGCCTCAGTCTCTTAATCAGTAAGAAGTAAAGTGATAAAGTGTATTGCAAACCTTGAAGAGCTCTGTATATGTGTGTACATATGTAGAAATAGATATATACATGTATATATGTTAGCTATTATTATTGCATCCCACTTTACTGAGAAGATCCACCTTATCTTCCCTACATTCTCATTTCCCCTATCTCAAAAGGTAAATTTTATCCTCCTCCTTGCCACAGCTAGCTTATTACTAATGCCCTTGGTCCCATTTTTTCCCAATCATCTCCTCATGCACTTTCAACCTTTTTCTTTCTACCTTGTTCCTTTCTCTGGTCTGCCTAGACTATGTACCCCATTTCACTTCCAAACTTCTAAAAAGAATAATCTAAACTCACTTGCTTCTACTGCTATGCTTCCTAATTCTTCAGTCCCTGTCAGTATGGTTTCTGTATCCACAACTCTATTGGAACTGACCTCTCAGTGGTCACTAATGATTTCCTTTTCATTAATTTCAAGCTCTTTTTAACCTGTCTGCCAGATCTTACAATACTGACCACTCTTCTAGATCCTCTCCTTTCTCCAAGGATTTTTTTTTCTCCAAAGCACCAAACTACCATGGTCCTCCTACCTCTAAGTCAGCTCCTTTTATCCACTAGTTCTACATCCTCCAAATGCAGACCTCTCCTAAGTCTCTCTTCTCTCTCTCCACTCATTCCCTTCTTATCTACTTCTGTGACTCTAAATATCAGGATTACTAATCTCCAACTCAACCTTTCTTCAGTCCCATATATTCATTTGACTATTATTTTCACCTCAATCTTTATCCTGTACCTCAAATTCAACACTTTCCCCAAACTTACCTTTCTCCACAACTCCTTTATTTTTACGGATGCTTCCAAGGCTTTCCTTGTGGATTCCAACATAATCCTACTTGCCAGTGGATGGGCATTCCAACTCCAACTTCTTGAAACCTATAGGAAATTTTTCCAACTTCAAAATAATAAAACTTCAAAATAAACTCTTCTTTGCCTCTCCTATCAGTTGACAAGGTTTGTGGATTCTATCATTTTACTTAGCCTGTTTTCCACTTCCACTGTAATGACCCTGTCACATCTTGTGTAGTTAAACAGCTTCCCTGACTTTCCTACTTTTTCCCTCTCCAATTCATCCTTCACACTGCCTTTAGAATAATCATTCTGCAGCATCACTCTGATCACATCACTCCTTCAAAAACCTCCAGTGGCTTGCCATTGTCTACTGAAGTGCATTCAGCACTTCCAAAATCTCACTTCAAACTACTTTTCCTTTTACTCACAGTTCTCTTGATACACCTTACCTTCTCGTGAAACTCCCCTATTTTGTTCTGCCTTCCTTGCTTCTTCATATCTTTGTAGGAGAGTGAGCTCAAAATCTTTTCAGGTATTGATGACCATATGTATCTGAAAGGTAAAGAATGTAGGTAGGGTAGAGCAGGTAGAGGAAATAATGACCAAACTACAGAAGGAAGGTAGATAGAATCACAAAAGCTAATATTGCAAGGATTCCTGGAAAATTGTCAGAACTAAACTTGGGGCAGCATAAAAACAGGCTTAGGTTTTGCTTATTACAGTAGAAATATTGAAAAGTTAATTTGCAACCATTTCAAATCTTCATTGCTCAAGATCTGGTCCCTGATTGGGTACCTTGACCCTGAGATGTTGAATAGAAGCCACTATGAAGATTGTGAAGGATCAGGTGAGGGACACCTAACTTCCCTAACTCCTCCAACCCACTCCCAAATTGATCCACTGTCCCCTTACCCTAACCTCAAGCACAGATGGGGCCAGATTGTGTGGGACCAGCCAGCATAAATGCAGAATGACAGAAACCATATCCATGATGATACAGGCAAAAACCTAGTGAGTACTTGGAAATATTAAGTCCCCAGGAATAGGTAAGTCAGATAAGGAAAGAGGCCTGACCAGGGACACCACCTATAACTCTTCTATTAAAGTTTTAAGAATAGAGACTCATAACCTCCTCTTCTGGTTATTTTCAGGACTTAGTGATGGCTAGAGGGAGCTGTTTGAGGATGCTTAGTGATTATGTCCTTTCCCCCTTCCTAGGCTCCTCGTGTATCAGTTCATTTTCCCCTTCCCTGTACTGGTGTGAAACATTGCATATGCATTCAAACCTGGTTGGAAATTTTTTTTTAATTGGTTTTTTATTGTTACAAGGAATGGCTTGCTAGATTGGGGAGTAAGAATGGGGTATAATATTCAGAATAGGGAGCTGTATTGATACAGACTTAAAATTTGAGATTAATCTATATTACGAAGGGCATTCTTGATGAAGGCATGAAAAAGGAACAGGAAGATTTTCATACAGACTACTGACCGATTTTCCTTAGGTCACACAGTTGACTGAAAGGTAAAGATTGTAAGATCCCACTGTTCTTGTTTGTTGACTTTTATGTATGGCAAAACACTAACAACTCAGTCCTCCAAGTTGTCTTTCATCCTCATCTCAAAAATCATACAAGAGTCCTTAATAAAAGATCTAATCCAACCCCTTCATTTTAGAAATGAGAAAACTCAAGTTTTGGAAGGTTAGCTAATTTGCCCAACATCACACAATTAGTAAGCATCAAAATCGATGCTTTTTCTTTCTTTTATTCCTTTTTTTTTGGCTAGGCAATGGGGTTAAGTGACTTGCCCAGGGTCACACAGCTTGTAAGTGTTCTGTGTCTGAGGTAGGATTTGAACTCAGGTCCTCCTGAATTCAGGGCTGGTGCTCTATCCACTGTGCCACCTAGCTGCCCCAAAATCGATGCTTTTTCCACTCTATCTTGTTGCCTTTGTCTAGTGTAGAATCCAGATGGAACAGGGATGTCTTGTAAGTACTTCAGGTGTTCCTGTTTACAGATAACATTGTACTGACCACATCAAGGCCTGGAACACTTTGGTCTCCTACATAAGATACATTATCACTCTAAGATTGGTTTAACTAACTGCACAGGGAAAATCTAGATGACAAATGTCTTTTTATCCAGATTATTTTATACAGTTGGACAGAAAGCCCATTAAGCTGGTCTATCAGTGTGTGTGTGTGTGTGTGTGTGTGTGTGTGTATACGTAGTAGACAGCCACTGCAGATGCTAGAATTGGAGTAATAAATAGTCTTGAATTGTAGGTAGACAAAAAAGTTCTTTTTTTTTTCTTACTCCAAGTAAGGGACACCTAACTTCCCTGACTGCTCCAAACCTGCCTCTCAGAAATAACTATTTAAACACTGGTCATTTTTGAAGAATTGCAGGTTACTCAAAGGGTAATGTAAGAGATTTATGGTGGCCTGTTACCAATAAAGAACTATGTACCTGAATTGGCATTTAAAGACATCAAAAAAGAGATAAAGGACCAGAAAACAAGGCAGACTGCTAATGTAGTGAGTACATGGCATAACAGCTAGACAAGTTTGTTTCTTCACTGATACACAGGTCAACAGATAAAGAGCAAGGGTTCTTAAAGTGGAGTTCATGGGCTGCCAAAGATGTGTGAAATGATGTGGCAGGGATGTCTGTGAATTTGGATGGGAAAAAAGATTTCAATATAGTTAGTTTCCTATATTATCTTATATTTTACCTTATACATTACAACCCACAGGGTCTAGGGCACAAAAAAACCACAAAACCCCCTGAAAATAGTAAATAGCAAACTGGGTGAATCTCCTATGAAGGATTTTAGGGGAAAGTATGAAAGCATTACAATCTGCACAGTTAGAAGGGAGTACTTGTTTCAAAGTTCTATCACCTATTTACAAAACTATTTCTCTACTTCTTGAAAATGGAAGAATGCTTAAAGTAGAACTTGGTATCTCCCTCAAGCAAATCCTGAAGTTTCAGAACTCAATTTATGATTCAATAGAATGTGGAACCATTTTGTAGTTTTTAGACTCTGTAATTTGATTATGTTTACTGGGAATGGGAACTGGGATGGGGAAAAAATATGAGGAGGGTTCACATTTATTTCTTTATGCCAGAAACAGCAGTTAAAAACTTTAGGTCTTTCAAGTATAGGAGTTATTCTGACATTTAGGTGAAAAAAGGACTATGATCAGAGTATCAACAAATAAACATTAATACTAGTCATTGATCAACATAGTCATATCAACATAACCTGAGAAGTGAAAAAAAATAAGATAGCAAAATGAGTAAAATGTTAAACACTCTTTAAAAGCAGCCATTTTGTTTCAAATTTTGTTTTATTCAAACAGGAGCCATCTTTACAACACAATAAAGTGCAAAATTATTTCAGAAAAATACGTTCTCTATGAGGTAGTATGGTTTCTGAATTGCGTGGTAACAGACCTAAGAATCAAGTCTTGATACTCAGCTTTGCTATAAGCTGCACAGTATGACCTTAGGGCAGTAACTTAGGCTTGTGCATGCTGCTGTTTCTCCATCTATTAAAGAAGAATAATGTCTTTCTGACAGGGCTGATGATTAATTAGTTTTACACAAAGTAGAGCGCTGGAATTCCTTAATCATAGATGCTATGAATTTTTTTTTAAATTACTCTAAAATGAAGTTAATGAAGGCACTGAAAATTAATATCACTAACACACAAATGTATTTTCTTGGGTAGAAAATGATCTATATTTCATACACTACTGGTACCCAATAAGAGAATTTTATACATACTTTGCAAGGTATTTACATACCCACTATAAACCACAACCAACTAGGAAAAGAAAACCTGTCCTGAAGGTTACCCTATTATTGCATTTAACATGCCAAACGTTTTCTCACATATGAAGTTTAAAGACAGCCCTAGAGATGCAACACCAAAATCTTAATCTTTTTCATCATTTTTTGTGTATTCTTTAAGTGGCTTTTTCAATTTGAAATTTCAACCTTTAAAAAATAAGGGTGGGGAGGGTGTGGTGAAGAGACTGAACCAACTTTCCCTCATAGAAGAAGTCACGGTATATCATTTGTTAAAATCAAAGCAAAGATCAGTCTTCACTTGGCAAAAGTGAATTCCTTGAAGGACTCCAAACCCTTCCTCATGTGCTTCATAAGGACAAGCATTATAGAAACCTAAAAAAAAAATTACATCTTATTGGTGTAGCATGCTAAAATATTTGGCTATATGGTTAAATAAAATAAAACCATTTATTATAGCAGTTCCATGTCTTCTCTTCACTTTACCTGAACAAAATTTTACCAAATGAAAGCACATTTAATTCTCAAATACAGTTTTAACTTGCTATAGGAAAAAGGGTTATCACTATATTCCCACAGGGATTCATCAAACAAAAAAGGATAAAGGGAATCTCAATCATTCTTATATTGAGTATGTCTCATCTAAGATAACAAGACCTTTGAAAAGGTCAGAAGAGCTATAATCTTTCTAAAGCTAGTAAACTAAAAAAAGATACACCAACATATTCAAAGATGGCAAACTAATACAAATAGTCAACATTTCAGGTTGTTGTCTTTACATAATATAGACTGAACTTTAAGATTTTTTTAAGTTCTACCAAATAGGGTCAATACATGTTGGGCATGGCAGTAATAATACTAACCACAACATCTACTACACCTGTGAAGTTCTCTTTTATATTCTCAACTGCTGCCCCAAACCTCTAGAGTCTCTGATTCAAAGCAATTAGTCTATTGTATTCAGTACCACCCATGGCACAAAGCAGGAAAAGTGAGACAGGGCCTGTTATCTGGACGGCAGCTGTTCCCCAAGCATCTAACACTAACAGTAGCAAGGATGGATGTGTGACAAGAAAAGGAAAGGGAAGGTAAAGTAAGTACAGGTCAAAATGTTAAGTTTTACAGGGAGAGAACAGAGATTGACTTTATCCATACATATACCTTAAATGACACTTTCTTTCCATGTCCTTTTAACAGCAGTGGTTATAGGGAAGGTTTGAATTTTTAATACTTAGGATTATACTAGCTTCATTTATTTGAAAACGTATCAGTCCAACTCAACATTTACAGGATTCCCTATAGAAATGCATGTTATAAAGGGGTAAATGAAAGGAGTTAAATTCTTTTACTCTCCCTTATTTGTATGGACAGCTGCCCTAAACAAGGTTAAAAGATCTTAGTATCTGATTCACTAGTTTGAAAAGCCACAGAAGAGGGGCAACACCAACTGTATCCTTGCTGGAACTTTACAAGGGAGATGTTTTTTTCAATACTCCCTATCCCCCAATCATTTAGACAGCAAAATGGTTTTTAAACTTAATTATGTAATTTTACCAAAAGAATGAAAACGTGTAAAAAGATGCTACACTTCAAATTCTAGAGCCAACTCTTGGAGGAAACTGAACAGCAGTTAACACAGAGGTATAATCCAGTGCTAGATAACACTATCAGTAAGAGAACTTGATTTCTAACATTGTGGTGGGGTTAGGAAAATGCTATTTTAAATATATTTGAATATACAAGTAAAAAAAGTCTTCATATATGAAAAAATAGGTTTAAAGAAGTTTAGATTTATAATTTAAAAATACATATATAAATGAGAATTGCCAGGACATGTGTCAAAAAACAAGTAATTAAGCAAGTGTGAAGTGAATGCCACAATTTTGGGAGTTTTTTCCTATCTTTAAAAGTGGATCAAATATTGGGGCTACTCTATGGTAGCTTCTTTGCCAAAGTATTAATATTATTAATTACAAACTCCCCCAAATGCCTGGCTCTTTACACGTTAAATCTACCATTATAAGTCACTGGATACCACAGACACAAATAACTAATCTTAAAGATTTTAACTACAACAGGGGCTTCATTACCATCAGACCCCCAAATACCAAATTGCAATCAGTTCTCAAGACACTGACGAACTAGATGGAATTGGTACAGTAATGAAATCAGCCATGGTTCTCAAAAGAAAAGCTACTAAATTTAGAATGAAAAGCCATATAACTCAAATGGATTAATTACTACCATAAACACTTCCATATTACTTATACCCACACAGATGGCATAAAGTTTTTGCTCTAGCAACATGCTGTTAAGTTACTCATTTGGTTATCAAGGATGACCAACACAAAAGGGACTTAATACTATCCAATATTAATAATTACTAGCATTTAACACTAAAAATACCCATTCTGAATAGAGGTAGAACTTGCAACTAGTTCCACTTCACTATATAATCCCCTTTAGTATTTGCCAAATTTTTTTTGCAATCAAGGGAGAAAAAACTTGGGGGGGGTGGGAGATACACATTCAGAAAGTATTTAAATACTACATACTAAAATGGCACTCCATATAGATAACTTCGATCCAATTTCTAAAAGAATTCATTACACTTAAGTTTTCTAAGGAATAAGGTGCCTGAAAAAGGTGGCTTCATATATATATATACTTGAGACAAAGATAAATGTGGCCAGATAATTTGTCTTGGTCTCTTTTACAAAACCCAAGTAAATGGCCATAATTCTCCATTATGAATCTGAAAGCTTATTTTGTTTACCTATAGAAAGTTATCAACACATGCCCAATGAGAACCCAATTACTAGAGTTGAGACCCAGATTCATTGCTTTCTAAAGAAGAGATACACTTAGCGTCCTGTTTGTCTGAAACTGTCTGAAGAAGTTGTGGTCTTCAATGGAATCTCCAGTTCTGGGGCTTTGCCTGGAATTGAATTGGTTGATATTGAGCCATTGGGGCCTACAGTTGTATTCAAGCTACTAGAGGTTTCTCCAGTGCCTTGTATTTTAAAATAAACCACATAAAACACTGGTAAAATAATTCCAATTAGAAGCATGATAAAAACAGCGTTCCACCACTGAATTCCACAGTCTGCACCATTCATTAGAGTCTTCTGACTAATTGGAAGCAAAGGCTGGTTTGGGGTTTCTATGCAATAATCTTGATTTGAATAGATTTCTGATTGTACTGCCCTCTCAATATCTTGATCAATCCCCTTAAAAAAATCTGTCAGTTGGTTGGATTTTGCACAATTACTCTCTTCAGCTGCATTATCTGAGTCTGGAAACTCAACAAATGTCAATCTAGACTCAGAAGATGTAGTTTGGAGGGGTTTTAATTCCTTGCTTGTCTCTGTTAAGATGCCATAATTCTTCACTGGAATCTTTATAGATTTTAAAGCATATAAGTCTTGTTCTCTGATAAAGTTGTTTACTTTCTTGATGTCTGCAACCTATGGAAAAAGAGAAAATAATCCATATTAAAATGAGTACATTAAAATTTCCTTCAAAAGTTACACAAATACCTAAAATTCTACAAGACAAGGCAAGTGCTCTTTTTAATTTAATTGAATAAACCTTTGCTTTAATGGACATTTTAGTTCTAAGATAATATACATTATCAAATGAGTTAACAAAGTAAGCACTATAAAAATATTAGCTATGATTACCTAGAAGTCTGAATAAGATGAAATTGTGAAAACAAAAAATATTTGGCTATTTAATGTCCAGTAACATAAAACAGAAAATAAAATCACTAAACTTAAAATGAAAAGTTTTCCATGGGTACTTTTCTTTATCTTTAGCGACAACAGTGCCCCCTTCTGGCATATTAACGTCATGGTAAATGGGCCCCAAGAATGTCACTAACACAATTTATTGACCTAACAAATTTTCATTAGCAAAAAACCAAAAGGAATGACCTGAGTATTGTACTGAAAGTATTATCTTCACCTAGAATTTCCTTTTGCCCTAAAAACATACAAAAATCAATGATTATCAAATTTGTTGATGGTAACACTACATTTTTGTTTAATTTCACCCTATTTGCCTATGCCCCTCCCCCAAACATGCTATGGAGGATATGTAGGTTTTAAATATAAAAGAACTAAAAAATTGATATGTTTTGGGAATTTAGAATTATTGAGATAAATGGAGGCATGGGACATCATACAACCAACAAAAAAAAGGGACTGTCAGGATAATTTTATTATGTAGTCCAAAATGTGCTGCTAATTAACCAGTAAAAACTATTTTCATCTCATTACTAAACAAACTTACTTCAACTTAAGATTTAAGATAAAGAAGTTTCTGACTCTAGACATATTCCTCCAGGCTAATTCCTGTTATAAATTTCACCCAAAGATCAGCATGTTCATTCAAATTCAGAAAACTAATATACATTTCCTTCTATATTTTGTGAAAAAAAGACACTATCTAGAGCAACCATATTATACAATCTATTTAAATTAAATTTTAAAGTAAATGCAATAGATGTTTGAATTGGGGTCTTATTTAACTAAGCTGCCCTACAGTTTTGTTTCCATACTACTTGATCATTTAACTTAATGGGCTGGGGGTGGGGGTGGGGTGGGGTCCAGGGAGGAGTAAAAGGAATGCAATATAAGTTTTTTTTATTTGTTTGTTTTAGGCAGTTGGGGTTAAATGATTTGCATAGGGTCACACAGCTAGTTAAAGACGAAAGTGTTTGGTCTGAAGCTGGATTTGAACCCAGGTACTCCTGACTTCAGGGCTGGTGCTCTATCCACTGTGCCACCTAGCTGCCCCAATATAACTCTTAATCATAAATACTAATTTATGTGTTAAATAAGATGTTTGAGATTACTTTGTCAACAAAATTTTCTTTCTAATAACCAGTAGCAATTTTGCTATTCCTATTTAGGAAATGTGACCATCTTATTTAGGCACGATCTAATTTAGTTGGACATCATTTTGTTTTTGACAAAGCTATTTTAAGTGGTAGTATAGTATAGTATAGTATAGTATAGTATAGTATAGTATAGTATAGTATAGTATAGTATAGTATAGTATAGTATAGTATAGTATAGTATAGTATAGTATAGTATAGTATAGTATGGTATGGTATGGTATGGTATGGTATGGTATAGTGTAATCAAAAGAGCATTGGATTGAGAGTCAAAAGACCTGAACTGTGTAATACTGGCTCTCCCATTCATTTACTAGCTATGTAAGCCCTTACTCAAGTTATTTAAGTTCTTTGAACCTCAGGTTCCTTGCATAAAAAATTGATATTTGATCTCCTACCTCACAAGGTTGTTGTGAGAATGTGATGAGAACATATGTGAAAGCACTACTATGTAGAGTTTATCTAAATGTAAGAGAATACATTTTATGGCTTTGGTAGTACAGTATTTAGAAAGTGATTACTCAGTCACTTTCTTTCCCACAAAGAAAAAAAGGAGTATACACATAGTAATTATGAATTGACAAACAAGCTATGTATGTCAGAAAGGGGTGTTAAAAGTCATCTAGACTGAGTGTTCTTAACCTGAGGTCCATGAGCTTTAGAATTTTTTTTTATAATTGTATTCCATATAATTTCCCTGATAATCTTCTATCTTGTTATATGCATTTAAAAATAGCATTCTGAAGTCCATAAACTTCACCAGACTGCCAAAGGAGTTCATGACACAAAAAAGGCTAAGAACCCTAATCTAGACCAATCTTTTCATCTTACAGATAATAGCCTATGTAGCAAACTAAAATCAAAATTCCAGAAATTGTACTTCCTACAAGGCAATAATCTACCTGACCACTGTCTTATTTATTCAGAGAAACATAAAACCTCCACACACTGAAAGAGGTACAGTGGGAAAAGCACTGGATGTAGAGTATACCTGCATTCAAATCCTACCTTTGACCTTACTATCTGTGTGATCTTGAGAAACTCACTTAAGCTCCTTGGACTGAAGTCACCTGTAAAATAGAGGGGTTGGACTAGATGACCTTTGAAGTTATCTTGCAGTCCTACATCTGTGATCCTATTTTCCTCAGGTATTTTGCATCATAGTACACACTCCACTTGGGTAGAAAAACTTAATGTAATTAGCTCATGTGTATAGTGAATCCATGCAACCAAGTCTGACACAATTTGAAGCACAGTACTAACAAAGTTAAATTAATAAGTAGCTTTGATCCGTGGAGAACATGCAAGAAATTCTATGAATGCTTTCCTACTTACTTCCCCACTGTTAATCGTTCTGTATGCTATAAAAAAATGCAATTAAAAAGAAAAACAGTATTACAAAGATGCCATAGCATAACAAAACAGCAGTTATAATAGACAGAAGCTATAATTCTACCTGTTTAGAACTACCACAAACCAACAACAGAAGTTGAGAAAGTAATAGCAAGCAAGTGAAGTACATAATCAAATCCAGGAAAAAGATTTCCCTCCCTAGCCCCATCACATTAAATATTATTTGCCTAAAGGAATGTCATAATTGTTGTTTCAGAATAGGGGAAATGTAGAAGCAGTTCCTAGAAAAAAAAGTCATTTAACAGGAACCTTGATTAAAACCCCTTATCCCTCCCTCCCATCACCAAACGGATACAACTAGAGGTTATAATCTATGATTAAGGCTAGTAGCAGAGTTCTTCATTGCCATGCTCCTGGATCTCTTTCTTCAAATGATAAAATGTAGTAAAACAAGTGTCCCAGAATCTTCAGTAAGCTTTATTAAATTTAACTGAAACAATTGACAAAATAAGGAAGCCAAGTCATCTCTATGACCAAAGTAGAATGGGTTCTTACTTTACAACCATACTGAAGAGCCAGTTTGTTAAGGTTATCATCTTCTGTGAGTTCTCGTTCTAGTAATACCACATCCCCTACTCTCTCTCTTCCAGCATTCTTTTGCTGTTCCTTTCCCCTTGGTCTCAATTCCACATTTAGTTCTTCTTCAGACAGTTCCTCTGAATCTGAATTGTTATTTTTAAACATGTAAATGTGACTATTTGAAGAACTACAAACAACGGCAGGGGCTTGGAAGGTTTTGGTTAATACTTCTTTCTGTCTCATCTTTAGCACCTGAAAACAAAATTGAAAGAGTTGAAAGAGTTGCATTTATTGGTCACTATACACTACTATTATCTCCTTTTAAGACTGGATAGAGAATGATTAAGAAATGAAGGCATTTTCCATCACAGTATAGTTACTGTGAGGCAGGTACTCTCTAGAACCTCTTAAGATGAAATAAACTAGCCATCTGTCACATGAGGTTATGGTTATTATAATGAAAAATTATTGGCCCAGAGTTCCTTTTCAAAGAACTACATTCCCATTTAATAATTTTACTGCATTAGACAATATCTTTTACTAGTAAAGATGTTTATTAACTGACAAACAGTAAGAAAACATGATGTCACTGTTTGGATAAGGTTGGAATTTAATAAACTGTATGGCAATTTGTTAGAAATTCACAACTATTTCTTTCTAGTTTCTGTACATTTCATTAAGCCATAATCTGTTTCACATTTCCCCCTTTTAGCCAAAAAGTAATATTCTATCATTTTCAAACACTATTCTAAGATTCCTACATAGAAAATGTTATTAGAGATTTGTGACCTCCAAAACTAATTTTTAAATATCTGCAATGATGAGGTACTAAAATGATGCCTTCAGAATTAAACAAAGACAGGCTGTTTTTAAGATGCCCAGGTAAGACCACATATGCAATGAAGGACTGAAGTGGAACTATGAGATTTGTCTAGAATGGTTGACCTTGATGTGCAAGTAGTACATATCTAGCTCACCTTATTTGCTGCTGCTACTGCTAAAGTTTCTGCCATAGTGCTGAATATGTTCTTAGTTAAATTATGGTCTTAAGGGAAATTAATTTCTTAAAAACCAAGTAACTTTTTCAATACTGTATTTGGCAATTAGGTAATCTGGGGAAGGGGAGGATATATATCGTTCATGCTATAATTATAACAATCCCAGTTTTAACTATAATAAAACCTAGCTTTCTTATACACAGAAAGATTTCTGGTAACTTCAATGTAAGTCTTGATTTTATTATTGCTTTGCTGCAATACTGGCAGTGGGGTGAGGCCAATTATTATATTCTGACTCACATGTTCTTTGTGACTCATATGTTACAACCTGTTGGATTTTAGTGTTCAGCCCCATGCAATCAAACTACCCGGGAGAGGGAAGCAAAAGGGCACTCTAACTTTAATCCAGACTGAATGCTGTTTCCCGCTCCCGATTAAAAACAAACCCTACCACTAGCTATGACAAACTGACCATTTGTTTGAGATGCCTACCAAAGTGAGAGGCGAGTCATAAAAGCCAATTAACTCGAACTAAGAAGAGAATACCAAATGGAGAGTCATTTGCTTTTCACTTTTTTCTTTTCAAATCGTACTCCTGTTTGGAAGCCTTGGCCAACTTCCTGTCTCCCAATGGTGAAGGGCAGCATCTTGTAGTAGACCCAGGAGGACCTGGGTTCTAGGTCTGGCTCCGACCTCGAACCAGGGGACTTAAGCTCACCAAGTCCTGGCCCAGATGCTAAATCAGCACCTGATTCCGATGCCCTGAGCCAGAATTCACTGCTGAATGGCACAAAATGCCATTAACTTCGAGGCATCGGAGCCACCCTTTCCCTTAGGTCTTTTAGCAGGATTACTGGCCTTTTTGTGCCGGGGCCCTGTAACCTGGGGTCCTCCAAAGGGACACTTGAGAGGCAGGGTCCGCATTTACCCCCAAAAATGGCTGAATAGCCTCGGTGGAAGTTTAAAGGCGGAAAAAAGTGCCCCGGCTCACTCTGGGGGATGCCATGTTTCGTTTTCACGCATCTTCATTTTCTTTATTAGTTATTACGGCTCTAGCCAAGGCGCTCCAGGGCCGGCAGGCGCCCGCCTACCGCCGCCCGCGCTTGGGCCCCGCGGCCGGCCCGCGCCCCGCATTCGCGTCCCCGACCCGGGTTTCGCCAACGGTGCCCGTTGCCACCGCCCCCCGCCTCCCCTTCCCAGGGCAAACACCGAAGGTCTCCTAGGAGACCCGGCGGGGCGGAAGGGGCCGACCTCGGACGCACGCACCCCCCCCGCCCTTGCCCGGAGAGGCCCCGGGAGGAGCAACCCCTCCGGCCCGAGTCCAGGGAACGGTTCCGCAGGGGATGGAGGGGGGCTACTCCCCCCATAACTCACCCTTTCAACGCCCCAGTACCGAGGCAAGTCTCGCGGAAGCCACTCACCCAACCGCGCTGGCACCGCCGCGCCTTCCCATTGGCTCAGCCGGTCAGCAGGTCCCGGGGAGGAAAAGGAAGTAGCCAATCATGGAGCGGGGGGTGGGAGGGTCGGCTGGGGATAGTGTGAGAGGTCAGCGCTGGAGCTGATGCTCCGGGGCGGCTACCCCTGGCGGAGCCCCCAGAGCGGCTGGGGGTATCGCGAGGGCGTGGGGTAGGGAAGAGCGAAGGAGCCTCCTGCACCTTTGTTCTCCTCCTCCCCTGAGTTGTCCGCAGGGAGAATTTGAGGTGGCGGTGGCTGTTGCTACTTCGTTGCTTACTCCCTGGCAATCCCTTCAACAACTTCTCTTTCCTCAATTCTTCTCCCCCTCCCGGTCTGGGACTCTGAACCTTGATCAGATGAGCTGTTCTTGGTGGAAGTGTGCTAATCTTCTTAGTGCTTATCCCTGGCTGCCACTGCCCTTTGGGTGTTGTCTCTCCCATTGCAATAAGCTCCTTAGGAACGGGACTATCTTCACTTTTGTAGGTGTTACCCCCTGTGCTTAGTAAAGACTTAACAAATGCTTATTGTTCATTCATTTCTTCTTTTATCTTTCTGATTCCGTGAACCCTCCCTAATAACAAAGGAAACCAGTTTAGAAAAACCAACCTGCAAAGCAAGCCCAGCTGACAACAAATGCAACATTCCACCCCTGTAGTATCCCAGTTCTCTCACGAGAGGACACATCCTCCCTTCTTGGGAAAAAAATCAAGTTTGTTCTTGGCAACTAATCTGTTTAGCTTTTAGTATTGGCTTTATTAGCGTTATTGTAAGTCATCACGGATGTGATGCGGTTTAGAGGTTCAGGGGTGCTGGGACCCCAAAATCACAAGTGGGTCCTGTCCGAAAGAATTCGACCCAAGCCTACTTTCAGCCAAAGATAATATTAATTAGAACATCTGTCATATTGGGCAGACTTAAGGAGCCTGAACATTAGTAAGCTATTGGCTAGATTATAGGAATCCCAGCAGTGGCTAGATTTTAGGAATCTGAGCATCTTAATGGAGACAAAAAATGGAGACAGAAAGCCTGTGGGAGGAATGTAGGAGTGGCCAGTGAGCTGGGGTGAACAGAACTCCGGGGACCTGGCCAAGGGAGAAAGGAGCCTTAAGGGTGGGAAATGGCTGGGGGCCATACATAGGGATAGCTGATGGAGGGAAGATTGGATATAGCCACAATGAAAGGCCAGTTGATGGGATTATAGCCTCAGGCTAATGCCAGAGATTTGGCCTTATGGGAAAGTCTAGGATTTTTCCTCTCTGGGGCCTAGATCCCAACCCCATCAGATGTTCCCTTGGTTTTGCTGTCTCATCCTTTCTACACGTTTTCCCACGCTTCTCTAAATTCGTCATATTTGTTGTTTCTTGTGGCTCGATACTATTCCGTATGGCACGATTTATATTCTGTTCACCAAGTGTGGTCCTGGTAGAGGAGATTCCCAGATCAAAACTACTATGTTTTTTTTTTTATAATACTACTATGTTTTAATTTGTAATAGGTGAATTTCAATAGATGTGACCCAACATAAGCAAAAGTTCTTTGGGACAGTTCTCAATTTTTAAGTGTACAAAGGGATCCTGAGAACAGAAAGTTTGAGAACCATTGCTTCAGTATGATGGGACACTTTGTTTCCAGTTTGGTTTTTTTTTTTACTCTCCTTAAGCTCCTTCATATTCTTCCCCTCTTCCAAATAATTATTTGTAGAGGAAGAATTACTGCTCCATGAATTTATTTAGATTGAGGCTGAGAGAGTTGGGGGAAACCAACTCTTTCTATAATGTATTCTTTGACCTACCCTTCTTCTGCAGTAAAATACTTAAACAAACAAAAGTGCTCTTATTGGTGTGATGAGTGCTTCTTCCCAACCTGCACATCTAATCACTCCTCCCTTTAGTTTCATCACCTGGTGGCCAAATTTCTAGTGGTGCTCCTCTCTCAGAACTTAGCTAGTTTGGTCCTTGGAAGACAGATCCTGGGTCCTACTAGAAGCCTTTCCAGCTTAGTAGGACCTGTCAGAACATGTCACTGGTCTAGCCTCCCATTCCAAGGCTTCATGCTATGAAGCATATGAATAGGACTTGTGGAGAGTGGCTCATCCTGGAGTAAGAAAAACAAATTCTGTAGAGGAACGATGACCCCTCAGTTTAGCCTAGTACCTACTTAGTAATGTATTAGGTTCTGTAAGAGATGTAAAATAAATATAAATAAGACTTATACTCTTCTTTCAGGGATCTTTCTGTCTTGTTTGGAAGCTGACTGAATCTTGAATCCCTTCTGTAACATCACCTATAAGTGTGACCACCTATAGTGTCAGTGCTACATACAGGACAGAGAACAGTCCTTAAAGCCAAGAAGACCTGAGTTCAAGTCTTGTCTCTGAATGAATGAATGAATGTATCTACTTTCTCTGAGCATTTCAACTCATTTACAGACTTATCTAATAAATCTTGTTAAATATTCACCTATCTTTACTCTTCATGTAGAGATGTGCCCTAATATCTAGTGGTACTTCTGGATAGGAAAGGAAGAACATAGCCTAGACCTTTAAGAGGTGACACTCAAGAATGTTACTGTCTGGGGGCAGCTAGGTGGCACAGTGGATAGAGCCCTGAAGTCAGGAGGACCTGAGTTCAAATTTGACCTCAGACCAAACACTTGACACTTACTAGCTGTATGACCCTGGGTAAGTCACTTAACCCCAATTGCCTAAAAACACACACACACACACACACACACACACACACACACACACACATACACACACACTCACACACACACACACACACACACACACACACACACACACACACACACACACACACACACACAAAAGAATGTTATTGTGTTCTGGAGGGAAATCATTCCAGAAAATAGATCCCTTTTTCCGTTGACCCAAAGAAGCCTTAATTTCCTGTGATTCCTATAGCTATGCTTAGACTTCAAGCTTAAATGAATGGGCTGAGCTGACTCCACCCTGCCCCCCACCCCCTACCCCAGGGCCTTGGATTCCCCCTTTCCCAGTCTTAAAGATTTATAGTTGTAGTAATAGCCTCTGAGCTCACACTCTTAAATTCTGCCTGCACCTCTTACCTCTGCAAGTATGGGTTAGGTTTCCAGAGCTCAGCTATTTCTCCCCTGGGGATTCTAGAGGTAACACCAAGGGTTTATGGGGGAGGGGGAGGAGAGTTTTATATTACTATTGCACACAAACCCTTCTCCAATGTGTTCCCCTCAATAGCATTCAACCAGTAAATTCTGCTCCAATATAATTTTGACCAACTGATCTCTCTTCAGTATCAATTAACATCACTTAGCTTCTTCAAAGGGATATTTACTAAGAAAGCACTGCAAAGACAGAAGTATAAGCACATTCCCCCCAAGCTGGAATATAGCGTCTCCTCTATACAGCCACACAGTCCTTGGGTGAGTGGGCTCAAACTTAAAAGTATTTGCTACACACATCCCCTATCTCCCCTCCAAAGTTCACTTTGGGGGATTGTGGCATAACTGATAAAAGAGTTGCTCTGTTGGTCACAGGACAGTGAGGATCACAGGCTGCTGGGTCATTCTGCTACTGGACTGGATCAAGTAGATCACTCCTCAACAGATTCCTCTGCTGAGGTTACCAACAGCCTCTGATATGGACTCCAATTGGCAGACCTCAGGTGGCTTTTCAGCCTTTTAAAACTTACAAGGTCATAACATGGATTGTTTCGTCTCTGATATTCTTTCACCTAAGAGGAAAAAAAAGAATTTGCGCAACAGAGACAGAAATAGGTGGCACCATACTTTCATCGCCATGACCATGTGGTGGCCAGATGGGGAGACAGGGCCCATGGCTGCACGTAGGAAGCCACAGTTACTTCGGTTGCATGTAACACTCCACCCACCTGGGGGTTTACAGCATTTCAACTTCCTCCTCACTCAAAAGTCTATTCAAGCTTTTGGAATGCAAATTCATTTCTAGCTCAGCAACCCAATAAAAGGCTTTTTTGTTACTATAAAGTAAGCTGACCGGAGCTAGTCTGAGGATACCTGTACATGCTTTGAAGCAGAGCTCCTCCATAACACATTTCTGAAAGCAGACTCACCAAGCTTCCGTGTGGATTGATACAAGGAAGAACATTTTTTGTATTTTA